ATATTTATTTAAAATTAAATCAAAGGAAATTGTAATGGTATTGAATGCTTTTTAATTACTATTTAAAAAATGAAAGTGATGGGGAAAAAGGTCAATCATATTTTTTTTACCCTGTCTGTTTAGCTTGACGTCTGATATATATATATATATATATACATATATATATATATATATATATGTATATATATATATATATGTATATATATATGTATATATATATACATATATATATACATATATATACATATATATATATATATATATATATATATATATATATATATATATACATATATATATACATATATATAATATATATATATATAGTCATGCTCCGATGTGGGGGGCTGGGGGGTGCGTCGACATGGTCGGGACATAGAAGGGGGTGCGCGGCTAAATAAGTTTGGGAACCACTGCCCTACATGTAAACTGTGCAGGCAGCACACCTTGGTAAAATAATGCATAAAACCACAAGGCCCTTCACAAGCAAATTAAAAATGATTAAAACGGATTTAAAAAATTGAGCAATGAGAATGAGAAAAAATAATAGATTAACAGCTTTTAATGTTTTATAGGCAGTAATGTTTGTAAATATCACTGTATGTGGATGTTTTTTACATTTGTTTTTATTTAAAAGCATTTTCAAGATGTGGAGAAAGCATTCAACTGCATCCCTCCGGATGCCCTGTAGGGGATACTTAACGAGGATGGGGTAACAGGCCCTCTGATATGGGTTGTTAGATCCCTGGATGATCAGTGTCAGAGCTTGGTCCACATTGCCGGCAATAAGTCGGGCTATTCCCGGGTCAGAGTTGGACTCCGCCAACGCTGCCTTTTGTCACCGATTCTATTCATAACTTTTATGGACAGGATTTCTAGACGAAGCAAAGGTGTTGAAGGGATCTGTTTTGGTGGCCTGAGGATCGGGTTTCTACTTTTTGCAGTCTTGTTGGCTTCATCCGGCTTTCGCTGGAGCAGTTCGCAGCAGAGTGTGAAGCAGCTGGGATGAGAATCAGCTCCTCTGAATCCGAGACCATGGTCTTGAGTTGGAAAAAAGTAGAATGCCTTCTCCGGGTCAGGGATGAGGTCCTGTCCCAAGTGGAGGAGTTTAAGTATCTCAGGGTCTTGTTCACAAGTGAGGGAAAGATGGAGCGCTAGATCGATAGACGGATTGCTGCTGCGCCTACTCCACAGTAATGCGGGCGTTGGTCTGTCGTAGTGAAGAAAGCTGAGCCGGAAGGTGAAGCTCTTAACTACCGGTCAATCTAGGCACATTCCAACCCTCACCTATGGTCACGAGCTTTGAATACAGGGAGTGCAGAATTATTAAGGAAGTTGTACTTTTGAGGAATAATTTTATTACTGAACAACAACCATGTTATCAATGAACCCAAAAAACTCATTAATATCAAAGCTGAATATTTTTGGAAGTAGTTTTTAGTTTGTTTTTGGTTTTGGCTATTTTAGGGGTATATCTGTGTGTGCAGGTGAATATTATTGTGCATAATTATTAGGCAACTTAACAAAAAACAAACATATACCCATTTCAATTATTTTTACCAGTGAAACCAATATAACCTCTTCACATTCATAAATATACATTTCTGACATTCAAAAACAATACAAAAACAAATCAGCGACCAGTATAGCCACCTTTCTTTGCAAGGACACTCAAAAGCCTGCCATCCATGGATTCTGTCAGTGTTTTGATCTGTTCACCATCAACATTGCATTCAGCAGCAACCACAGCCTCCCAGACACGGTTCAGAGAGGTGTACTGTTTTCCCTCCTTGTAAATCTCACATTTGATGATGGACCACAGGTTCTCAATGGGGTTCAGATCAGGTGAACAAGGAGGCCATGTCATTAGTTTTTCTTCTTTTATACCCTTTCTTGCCAGCCATGCTGTGGAGTACTTGGACGCGTGTGATGGAGCATTGTCCTGCATGAAAATCATGTTTTTCTTGAAGGATGCAGACTTCTTCCTGTACCACTGCTTGAAGAAGGTGTCTTCCAGAAACTGGCAGTAGGACTGAGAGTTGAGCTCGACTCCATCCTCAACCCAAAAAGGCCCCACAAGCTCATCTTTGATGATACCAGCCGAAACCAGTACTCCACCTTGCTGGCGTCTGAGTTGGACTGGAGCTCTCTGCCCTTTACCAATCCAGCCACGGGCCCATCCATCTGGCCCATCAAGACTCACTCTCATTTCATCAGTCCATAAAACCTTAGAAAAATCAGTCTTGAGATATTTCTGGGCCCAGCACGGAATAGATCTGCTGCTCCTCCCCATCAAGCTGAGGAAGCTCGGAAATCTGGTCAGAATGCCTCCTGGGCGCCTCCCTGGTGAGGTTTTCCAGGCACGTCCAATCGGGAGGAGACCGGGGGCAGTAGCCTAAGCAGGGAGGCCCAGACTTCTCTCTCCCCAGCCATTTAGACCAGCTCGTCCGGGGGAATCCTAAGGCACTCCCTGACCAGCCGATAGATATAGTCCATTCAGTGTGTCCTAGGTCTTCCTTTAGGCCTTCTGCCAGTTGGACGTGCCCGGAGGACCTCACTAGGGAGGCGTCCAGGAGGCATCCTTACCAGATCCCCCAGCCTTCTCAACTGGCTCCTCTCGATGCGGAGGAGAAACAGGTCTATTCCGAGCCCCTCACGGATGACAGAGTTTCGCACCCTATCTCTAAAGGGAGAGCCCAGCCACCTTGCGGATAAATCTCATTTCGGCCGCTTGTACCCGCAATCTCATTCTTTTGGTCACTACCCAAAGCTCGTGACCATAGATGAGAGTAGGAATGTAGATCGACCGGTAAATCAAGAGCTTTGCCTTCTGGCTCAGCTCTCTTCACAACGACAGCTGGGTACAACGCCCGCATCACTGCAGATGCAGCACCAATCTGCCTATTGATGTCACGCTCCATCTTTCCCTCTATCATGCACAAGACCCTGAGATACTTAAAACTCTTTTCATTCATAGATATATAAAAAAATCTGCAATTGGAAGAAATGTTGTAAGTGGTCTGATTTCACTCTAAAATAATTCCACATAATATTGCAACTTGCTTGTATTTGTTTTTCTTTACTAAGACCTTACTTTAGGCCAAACTCCTCCAAACAGCTGAATGTTTGTATGGAGTTCAACAGTTACTATGGTAACTTCTGCATTAAAGCAGAATAAATTATATGCCTCTAGCCTTGTTGCTGGTGAGACGGACCAATAGAGAGGAGGCCCTTTATAATTCTTATAATTTATCAAGTTTCCAATCAACAAAATGTTTTGCTTTATCTCATTTATCAACTCAACTAAGACCCTCAGTGCAGACATCTCGTGTGCACACAAGCCCCTCGGTTTCCATGACAGTAAGCAACCGCTTCTGGACTTTCACTCTACGCTAGAATCACAGCCAGTGAGCCAGAAAGAGGATCAATAGAAGTATTGTTGCTCTCAGGATAGCTCGGCTTTCCAGGAAGTCACTGCGGCAGTAGGGGTCTGATCAATGACACTGACATTCAGAAACATTCAGAAAGAAGCAGTGGGTGGGGGTGTGAGAGCAGGAAGAGTAGCACTTAAGGAATGTATTCTAGATTTAAATGTGTGCAGATTCATTAAAATATGTTTTAAAGGTGATCAAAATTCCTGTTTAATGATATAATTGGTGAAAAATATTTCCAATTTGTGTTTAGGCCCTGTCCACACGTAGCCGGGGATCTGCCAAAACGTAGATATTTTTCTACGTTTTGGCCTGTCATCCACACGAAAACTGAGTTTTTTCACACAAAAACGGATCTTTTTAAAAACTCCGGCCAAAGTGAAGATCTGCGTTTTCTCCGTTTTGGGTGTCTGCGTGTGGACAGACAAAACCGGAGTTTTAAGGTCCGCAACGTCACTTTCCACGACAAAAAAATGCTGACATCACGTGTGTGACCTGTGTTTACACTAGCCGACAGCATGGATGCCCTCAGAGCTGCACTCGCTTTATCAATTGTCCAAGCGCTTTCTGCTTGTTTGTTTTTGCAAGCGGAATTACTGCTCATTGCGGAAGACCACAGATGAAGGACGAGGTTAAAAACGGGGGAAGTACTGCCGCCTACAGGTCTGGCATGTCCTTAACAACGTATTTATCCGGGTACGTGTGGACAGAGGTTTTTTTTAAAATGAGGTGGTGTGGATGCAAGTTTTTGGAGGGGCGGATATTCGTTTTTTTAAAAACCCGGCTATGTGTGGACAGGGCCTTAGTTGGAGCACAAACAGGCACCTGACTGTCCATCACTCAGAGTGATGACTTTATATTTTTCGCCCCCTCAGGGTTTGTGTTAGCAGCAGCAGAGGTTAATTTAGTAAACGTCTACTCTCACCTGTTAGCACATGTACAGTGGCCCTGGTAATAATTGCTCACATGCACAGACTCCCAACATTATCAGGATGTGGTCTGTTAGAAAACAACATCCAATGAAGGACTGCATTTTCTGACTCATGAGGGGAATTTCCACCCTCATGCTGACATACATCTGAACAAAACAAATGACAGCAAGGCGTGACATGCAACCATAAAGTCTGACACACACAGACTGTCACTTGCTCTGAAGCGGCCTTTCTCATCTACCTGTATGTTCCTGGAAATGAGCTTCATAAATACCACCTTTATGGTGGCTTGAGACGAAACAAGTTCCGCTTGAGTATTGTAAAGTTGGTGGGTGGGGGTTTGTTGTTCCAGCACCAATTTTCAAATCCGTTTCAGGTGGGTTCGCGGTACAATATTCAAATATTTTCTGAGAAATTGACAGAACACTTTTCCATTAGTCACTCAGAAACTTTGAAAGGTGTTCTGATTCTGGGAGAAAATTGGGCCACTATGTATGTGTGTGTGTAAAAAGTAGAGCTCCAGAAATGGTGTAAAAAGGTCAGCAGAATCCTACTATGCAATGCAATGTTTGTTTTTGCAACACCAACACGAGTTTAGAGTGAAACACAGTGATGTTAAGAGCACGGGGATACTTACGTTGACCTTGAATGCCTGCACAGTGTTGTCCAGCAGCAGTACGTTGCACACAACTTGTGTGTGCTGTCTGTCTCGCTCCAGCTCCGTCGCCCGGACATTGTAGGATCTGCCAGCAGGCAAGCGGAAGCGCGCGCTCATCACGCTCCTACCAGGGTCTGTAATGAACAAAGGCATAGCAGAGAGGAGAAAATGATGAAGAATTTTGGAAAATAAAAGTTAAAAAACTGCAGTGTCATTAAATTATGGCATGATCTGCAAAATCTAGCCAAAAATGACTAAATTCCTACAATGCATTTATACAATTCTAACAGGACAATGCTTTTCCTCCACGTCTTGCAGAAGGAAGCCAGGCAGCGACGCAAGCCTGTACAGGCACGGCAAAGAATGTATATCACTAGACGATCTATGACTCTTTTTTGAGTTTTGCAGCCCCGTGCAAAAGTGTTTACAATATTTTTTTTTTAGATTTATGATCCGAGATGCAGACACATTGATGGATCCACTCTAAACCTCAGTTAATTCTAATAAGAGCCCACAAATGTGGCACACGAGCACCCAGAACATCTGTGTTTTAATTGAACCAAAATGGCTCATAAGAGAAGCTCTGGATTGGTTAACGAAGGATGGCAGTTGTGTATCATCTTGTCATCACTGCAGATGAACGAAAGCAGCTCATTTCAGACCTGCTAGCAAACTGTGCAATTGTGGACTGAACTCATTTTTAAAAAAAGGCCCAACACTGTTTTTAAGTAACACTGAGCAGTTTCCTAATCCTCTGCCCTACTGGTCGAAAGTGGAATGACAACTTTTGTAAATAGAATAGAATAGGCTTTATTAAACCCATAGGGAGCCTAAGTCTCCTCCCTTTCTGGTTGGCTCATGGCTCCCTGGAAGAACGAAAAAATGAATGCAAGTCAACGGGGATAAAAACGCTGTTTTCTAATCCACTTTGCCTTACGCCCTGGATCACGCGTATGTTGTACTGCAATGTAAATAAAAAGTAATAATGGTAAATGGCCTGTATTTGATATAGCGCCTTCTAGAGTCCTAGAACCCCCCAAGGCGCTTTACAACACAATCAGTCATTCACCCATTCACACACACATTCACACACTGGTGGGGATGAGCTACAATGTAGCCACAGCTGCCCTGGGGCGCACTGACAGAGGCGAGGCTGCCGAGCACTGGCGCCACCAGTCCCTCCGACCACCACCAGCAGGCAACGTGGGTTAAGTGTCTTGCCCAAGGACACAACGACAGCGACAGACTGAGCGGGACTCGAACCAGCAACCTTTCGATTACGGGGCGAGCACTTAACTCCTGTGCCACCGTCGCCCCAATAATGGGTGGTTCAACCACGCCAGTCACGTACTTTGAGATTTATCAGCTTGTAAAAGTTTGTAACTGGCATGACTACACACCAAAAATCGGCACGTCGCATATGCAGACACACCACATAATCTCCTCTCCCCAAAGTAGCCGCTACTTACCAAATGGCCAGTGTAACGTGAGGAAATATGGGTTTTCTGTCACAATGGTGGTGTTGGACGCAGCTGGGTCATAGCTGGGTCGCTGAGAACTTTCACCCACAGATTAAGACCTGAACGCCAGCGAGTCTGGGAGGAAACCATAACATCTGCCACCTGCAGTCTACCAGAAGATGTGTTTACATGAGTTGTACCCAGACCAAGTCAAAACATAAAGTTTAAACTTCTTTTTCTTGATTTTAATGTTAAAGTAACCATTATCATTTTGCTCATTATAAATGTGATTAATCAAATGAATGACTATTTAGCTTTGGGGTAATTATAATGGTTTAATGAATCCATTCTTAAATAATGTTGAGAATGTTTGTTACTGACCTTCACACACACTCAAGCACAAACATTCACACACATCCACACACACCTGCTCACAGTAAACTCCAGACACATTTGATGACGCACGTTTGCTTTGAGAAGAGAAAGGTTTTTGGTAAGTTTTCAGTCTTTTGATTCAGTTCGTGTTGGACAACGAGAGAGAACAGACCTGAAAACCAAAGGGGGGGCAGAGCCTGTTGGCTCGTTCTTCCCCCCTTTCACGCTGTTTCTGCCAAGCCAGGCAGAATAGCTGAATCGCGACTTCTAACGAAGACTCATTACCGAGTCTTTTGATTTCTGAGTGAATTAACTTAAGAAAGCGCATCGATAAAACGCTCTACCATCCACGTGTACCGAGGGCAACTCTGGACCGGTTCCGTTCGACACCTATGTCTCCTGTCAGCCGCCGGTGTCATCTGGATGAACCACAACATCCTCCACGGCCCGGATCTGAAAGAGGGTCCACAAGAGTTCGGTGAGACAGAGCACGGTTTTAGCGTTTGATGCGGTTCTCTGATAAGACCTAAGTTTATCCAAACCATCACTTCACTCAGACACCTGTTTCTTCCTGAAGCAAAATCAGACTCACACACGCATTCATGTCACAACATTCTCAATCTTCATAAATTCAACAGAAGGTCTATTTGAGCAAGAACAGCATATAAACTGTTAAAAGATTGTCCCACAAAGTTGCCAATGTGATTGTTATTTCCTGTTTGTCAATTTTCAGAATCATTAGTTTAATTTGAAGAATTAAAACTTTTAATCCTTCAAACTTGTTTCCTCATTGAACTGAAACACAGACACTCAGATATTATCGGCAGTTTATGGATGAAAACAACCTTTGAGTCTTCTGAACAATATAAAATTTGGTTATTGATTTATTAAAATTAATATTCCGAATTAATACGTAGCAGGGTTTCTCTTTCATAAAAGAGCATAAATCCATAACGCTACACCAGATTTATAGTGGTTCTTTCCTCCTGTGGGAAGTTTCCTGAACTTACAGCCATTTTCCCTCAGTTTTCTTCGTGTCTGGTTCGATGACGTCACTTTCGTAAAGTGCATTTGCTGGACTTATTTCCACACAAAACTTAAAATAGCGTTTCCCCCTGTTCGAAAATAGGCGCGTTCTTGGTATCAAAATGTGTCTTTAAAACTCACGGACATCATGTGTGAAATCCATGGCACTGAAGAAGCGGAATTAGAATATAGCATTTTTAGCCCCGTTGACTTGCATTAATTTTTTCGTTCTTCCGGGGACCCGTGGTGCAGAAGTAGATGGGCGTAACTTAGGCTCCCTATTGACCCTTTGCACGTGACATCACGCCACTCATGTGACCGCCCCCTTAGCCATGATGGACGGCAAAAACACAGTTTAAACCCATTGAAACTCCAGTGAAGCTAGTCAAAACAAGCCAGTTTGTAGCCTTTTATCTCTTTTATATAGGTGATTTGACAGTAAAATGGTTTTAGCTTGCTGCGTGGTTAGCTGCACTAACAGACAAGGATGTAAACTCAACTCATTTAGTTTTTTTAATTACTCTGATGGAGACTGAGGACGGAGATGAACTGCTGCGATCAATCAATCAAGCGGACTAGCATGCCTCAGATTTGCAGCGATCATGTTTTTACCAGGTGATATTAGCGTTCATTTATTTTACGAGGAAGACAGGGACATGGATCAATGTGATGTGTTTATACTAGTTATTGATAATCCTGATGGATGGGTATTTCACCACGGAGGCTGCTCTCAGTCCACTGTAGTGTAAAGCGAGACACTTATTAACAATATTAAAGCTCCAATATATGATTACGTGTGTTAAAATTGCGTTATTTATTTATGTGAGCGTCGGCGTTCAGAGATCTTCTCATTCCGGTGTGAGAGCAGCAGCTGAACCCGGTGACACCACCAGCAACAGAAGCTGGTAGGGATCCGGACTTTTTAACAATCAGCTTTGGTGTAAAGTGAAACGCTCTTTATAACATAATGTTATAAATCCAGAGGGGTGAATTTAGGCAAAGTCAGCAACATGTTTACATCGGTGAACAGCTGCAGAGAGAACGTAAGCTAACGCTGGTACGCTAGTTAACATACCGCTCTCTATGAGCCCCGCTAGATGCGCTACTTCTTCTGATACCTGAACTGGGCATGAACTGGTTGAAGGAATGCTGGAGGAGTTTTGTTTTTGATCGCAAAAACAATTTCAGGCTCTACTTTTCCCTTTGTTTAGTACTCGTGTCGCTCACTGTTTACATGCTTTTGCCGTCTAGCATGGTGGACCCACGTGATTAGGTGGCGTCGGTGCAAAGGGTCGATAGTGGGGAAATTCACTTGCTACAGCAGCACGTACACTAGAAGAAACGGAAGAAGAAAAATAACATTACACGTAAACAAACAAATGCTATTACTGTAACCTTCAACCACTAAGAACAACAAATAAAAAGAAAACTTGTAGCATAAGGGACACAGACATACTAAATCAGGTATTGCACAAATATGGAACGCATACTTAGTCGTGCATTGATGTTATTGTGTAACAGGATAATGCCAGTACCAGTTAAACGAATGAATGATGAATGACCTACGGTAGCATTGTTTTACATCTTTGATGTCTCAGTCTATCACTGAAGGAGCTGTCCACATTGGAACACCCTGTGTGGGAGGGGTTTTCCCAAGACGGAGGTTATTTTCCCCCAGCATCCTACTTTCACACATCTCAACTGAATCTAGTCGGTAGCCCAGAACTGAGCTAGCTAACAACAAGCTAATACAAACATGAGCCAACTAATACTAAAATAAACCACACTGTTGGACAAACAATATTATCACAATACTATTACTCATAGCAACAAAGCCAGGTCACCATCAGTCCGTAATTTTGTAGCCACCTTTAGCTCCCACAGTTTCTAACTCAACAATCACTGAGACTAATGTTAAAGCCCAAAGTTAAAAATAAACAATCTGTTGTTACTTTAAGACTGCAAGAACTCCTTTGTAATAAATAATAATAATAATACTATAATAATAATACATTTTATTTCAAAGCGCCTTTCAGGACACCCAAGGTCACTTTACACAAAACACGTCATAAAATACAATAAAACAATAATAAAACCCAAAGAAGAAAAAAACAGAGAGAAACATTTCAATAAAATCAGAGGTTGTAGGCAGATTTAAACATGTGTGTTTTGAGTTTTGTTTTGAAAAGGGTAAAACTGTCGACGTTCCTGATGTCTGGGGGAAGTGAGTTCCAGAGTCGAGGAGCAGAGCGGCTGAAAGCTCTGCTCCCCAT